CAGATAGCCCATTGTGTAGCTTTGTGCTTAATTTCAAACAAACAGAAACTCTAGTATAATTTATTTTTGTTCTATATATAATAACATTTTGTGACCTGTACAAAAAAAAATTTAAAATATTGTCAAATGAAATTAACTGCATTTAATTGAACTACATGTACAGTATAATTTGATTTGTTTATGATATTTTGTGGTCTTCGTAATAAGGTTTAATGTGGACATAAAATGGTTAAAAGGAGTGATGGGAAACAGCAATATATTTTTAGGAATATTTGTCATTAATTTGCTGTGAAAGTTTTTTTTAGTTTTATTAATTAGTTATTTTGAAAAAAAATCTTATAAAATATACATTATAATATGTACTTATAGTTAACTGTAATTTTTTTAATAAGTTAATAGATCAGATTATGTGTATTTGATCCTTTTTTGTATGTTTGTGCTTTAAGAAGCACATAACAGGCATAACATATCCTTAATGAAAGAACTTTCTAAAAGCTAGTCATTCTGAGTTTTTAATTCTATGTCAAAATTATTGTTGTTAGGTTTAGAAAAATCACTATTTAGGAAAACTTGTTTGAGCTACATATTGTGTGTATGAAAGTGAAAATTTCTAGAATAAACTAACATATAAAGTTTTATAATCAAGACTGACTAATCCTTATAGATGAAAGATATCTAATAAAAAATAATTATATCATTGAAAACACAGGTAGATTCGAAGGTTTTTTAGTGTACTTTGTGTGTGATATATATGTGTGTATCAAGGAACATGATGAGGCACATTTCTGTAAAAAAAACTTTGAACATTGTCATGCATGTAATTTTTGAGCTTGTTTATTACCAGTACACACAAGTGTACAGAAAAAGGCATCTTTATTTATATATATATATAGTGATGCAACTGAATAGTTCTTCATTTATGTTAGAAGAAGAAATACTGAACATTTAATATTTTACTGCATGAATACAGAAATTTATTGTTTGATCTCATTAATTAAATAATGCAGTTTTAAACATGTTATATACATATTTCAACATATGTTGCCAAAACACATTCCAATTAGGTGATACATAGCAAGAATTGTATTATAATAATATAACTCAGTGAGATTACTAATTTTAAGGCCACAGTAGTAAAAAAAATAAAAAAAAATTGAACCACAACAGAATGAACAAGTTTTCTCTTGAACATGACTTTTTGCCATTTTTCTCATGTTTAGTCCATTTACCAACCTAATGGAAAGTTCTTATTGTGTGTTTCACACAATACCTCAGTAGCCAAGTTAAACTTTCAATATCTTAAAAAATTCTATTGATACCACAAGCCTACTGATGTTATTCTTGAAGTATACCTTCAAATTTGTAAACAAGGTATGGGATTAAGGTATTTTATTTTATCAAACTGTACTACTGATAAAATACAAATTTCAATAAATAAATTTCCTTGAACTTTTTTTTTTTGTTTCTAATTTAATAGTATAATGTGCAGTATGGGAGAAACTAAACATTTTGCAACCATTTTTTTCTTTTAAAAATACAATAGTATGGATCATAGTACGGAACCACCACATACTTTTAAACTAAGAAAAGCCATACTTTTTTGGAGTTTAGTAAAGTTCACTTACAATTATGGCAAGACTATCACTTGCAAACGTTTACTCGATATCTCCTAACTATGGCAAATTGTACCACAAAAGGATACCTATCAGATTTCTCACAACTACAGAATATTGTACCACAAAAGGATACCTATCAGATTTCTCACAACTACAGAATATTGTACCATATGAGGGAACTCGAAAATTGTATCATAAGCCTTCTAACAACTCTGAAAAATTGCATTACAGGAGATTGTACTACAGTATGGAACTCTTCATACATATCATAACTGTTGCAAATTGTACTACAGAAAAAGAAGCCTGTATACATTTTATATCCAAAGGAAACTTAAAATGTTTAAGGTAACCTCTAAGATAATCAAATAAAGCTCAATCATTGGAAATAATCCCATTGTACATTAAGACTTGCATTTGAAGGATAAGTCAGATATCTAAGCAGGTAACTCTAATAACACTGAGGGTGTTTGGTTCTATAACAAAGGTGTTGTATGTTGATTGTGCTCCTCATTTTGTCACTTAAATGTTTTCTTGATGGTAGGTTTTAAGAGTACAGTGTTGAACCCATACTATGAAAACAGTACTTTTTACTACCACTAGACATAATCATATCATTGTCTTGATAATTTTCCTTAAATATTAACCCAAAATTTTCAAAATCAGTGTCATTTATAGAAACTGAGAACATATCAGTGTTTGAGAAATAAGCTGATTCAAAAATCTTTTTTGAGGAGCATGCCTGACAATATACAATAGCTGCAAAAGATATAATAAAACTTGTTATTAAGCTAACTCATGAGACTTATCAGCAGAGCTTTCACTGGGCCACCATGATAGGTTTTAGTCATTGTCACAGAAAGCAATCTACCCTTATTTCTAGCAACAAAAACAGGAATATACAAAATTTGTGTACAACATCTAAAATTTTCAAAGTTGAAGATGATCCAGAAATGTTAAGACATATTGTTCTGTCATAATTCTTGTAATCTACCAGAACATTGTGTTAATAGTAGATAAATGTATAATGAAAGAATGATTTGTTTTTTGTTTAAAATCTTAGAGTTACATCCTCATGAATACAATGTAAGACTACATGGTATGTTTGTAAGATCCAGGTTATGATTATTTATAACTGTAGCATACTAGTACTATCAAATACTTGAGCGGATTTGAGGTTAATAGTAAAAGATGAACAAACATATATACAAATACAATTCTTTAGATTTAGATAATTGACTAAAAATTGTTATCACTTCATTTCAAAATTTTTTTCAGGTTATTTAACAAAGTTAATACATATTCACATGAATTTTGTACAACCTAGTGTAAAGTTTGTCTGGGGTTGATAAATTAACTATACCAATATTAGATTTAGTAATTATGTCTATGTGGTATGGTGTTGTGTTTATTCAGTATTTTTGATATGCAACAAACACATAAGTCAACTGAAGGTACATTAAATATACATATAATACATGTTTACTCAAATGAGCTTTCAGGCAAAATTGAAATAAGCTTTTTTTGGCAATTGCTTTTACTAACAAAACTAATAGATTAATATAATTATATTTGTTATGGAATGGTAAATATGGATTTTTCTTATTGAAAAAGTGATTTAAGCTGTTAAATATATGTTTTAGTTATTTATAAATTGTGTGAAAATGTTTTAACCTTTACAGAAAAGACAAAAATATTAAATTCTTAGTACACAGGTTAAAAAATGCTACATACACATTATTGGTAAATTGAAAGAAAAGATGTTCTTGTACAGTTTAAATTCATCAAAAGTTGATAATCAATAAAACCAGTGTAAAATAATAAAATTGGTTGCAAAAATAGAGTACAGTATTAGAAAATAATTAAGCCTGCAGTAAAAGCAGGATAATTTTTTTACACTTTTTTCCTGTTCAGTGTTTATTATTCACCTTTTTAGATTAACTAATATTATTAATAATACACTTTAATATATTTTAATTTTTTCTAAATTTTTGTATTTTTTAGTACATGATCATCAAAAATCGATTTTCACAAACCATTTGGTGATCAAACAGAAATAATTCATTTCTTACTGTTTCTGTTTTATTCATAGCTGCTCAGATCAAAAGTTAAAAGTCGTACAGTACTATGGGTTTACTTACCACTGTTAAAAGGGATTTTAAGATCTAAAACTTACTGACAATCTAACTTTTCCCAAATCTGAGCTACACAGGCAGACTTGGCTTTAAAGAGAAAAAAAACAAAATACACAAACAAAGAATAGTTCACACACAAAATGCACTTGACATACAAGATCTGTGTTCAGTGAGAGTTAAACTCTAGGGCTGCAACTGTTCCTGACCCTAATTTGATTCATAAAAAAGAAAGGTTTTCTATTTCTGGATGTCATGTACAATATTCTTTGCACAGAAGTTTGATATATACACTATACAAATGAAAACCTTTATCACAGACAAATATACATACACACATTTAATGGTAATAAATAAAAACTGCTCCATTAACTATGTAAGAATGTACGTACAATTCACTGAACAGATATGTACAATTAAGGTGAAACTTTGAGTTACTCACCTAGAGGAGCCTTAACAGCAAATCCTCCAATGCAGCTGATGGCATTCAGTGTGTCATGGTGGGCTGGCAAATAATCTAGCTCTCGTAAGAGCTCTCATGAGTATATGCCAGACCCCTCATATAGCTGATGCACTTCCTCCTCAAGCTGTGTTGGTAGTCCTATATGCTTTAACAGATGGTCTTCCTGCAGATTATTCCATGCCCTTGTCTCCATCCACCTAGTTATCTGATTTTAAGAGCAATGCTCTAAAATCACTGAGTTAGTGCGAGTTGCCTTTTTACAGCCTT